CATGACACGCCAATTTTAAAGCACAAAAGCTCCCGTTTCGGCTGAACGAGCAAGCACAGAGGTACCCTGTTTGCAGGATAGCCTCGAGCGGCTCCCTCAGGGGTGCACTGCACACACCCTCTCCCATCAGGGACTGGCACCTGGGGCTTCCCCAGAAGGGCTGAGTGTCCCAGTGACTGTCACCCAGACACCAGGGCCCTGAACTCTGGCTCTTCCCAAGCCTGCCTGCCTCCTGCCCAGTCCACAGTCTTCGGAGCACCACTGTGTGCCAGGCCTGTGCCCACAGCACACACCGTACAAGGTGGGAGGACAAGGGGGCTGTAACCTGTGCAGGAGTGCGGAGGGGCTTAGGGACCCGGAAAAGGAGGGGCCATTGGCCAGGGCTGGGAGAGGTGACCCCCTAGTTTGGAGTGTGGCTGTGTAGTAACTGCCACTTGCAGAACTTAACCCCCTAAAGGGTATGTCCCGTGTCCCTGTCCCACCTGTCCCCCAAGGGACCCTCCTTGACACGTCAAGCAGCTATCTGTGGGGTAAGGGTGGGGACAGCAAGTCTCCCACAGTGAGCCTTGCTGTGGCCCAGACCATCTGTGGCATGAAAGCCAAGGTGGGGATACCCCTGGGAACTGCTACCTGCTGGGTCCTGAAGGAGGGGGCAGGGGTCCCCAGGCAGCACGAAGGTTTGTAGAAATGACACTGTGACTATGCTGGGTGTGAGCACTCCCTGCCACCAGCAACTTGTGCCTCTGGGATAGTCAGGCTCACTTTGGTGTCTGGCTACCAGGAAGGGCCCTGCACCAAAACAGCAGGTACACAGTGGGCACACGAGGCCTCACAGGGCTGGGAACACCAACACCTTTGCCAGGAAATGGGCAGTGAGCAAGCCCCTGTGGGTCTTCACATGGGAACACTTTGACACTTACAGCCAGGCCTTTTAATCTGTCTCTTCTGAAGGTCCCCTCCACTATTATGCGGCTGCACAGTCCATTAGCAGATCTGCAGGGGCTGTGGCTGGGCAGCAAGCAACCCCCCTTTTCCTGCTTTCCTGAGATTCTCAGCAGAGTACTGGGGTTCAGCCTGTCGGGGTACGAAACAGGAGGGGGCAGAGCCCCTGTGACTGCTGGCAGGCTGAGTGAGGGGCCTGTGGCCGACCCTAGGCACTCGGCCTTTGGGGCTGTCCTGTGGGGTGGGTGGTCTCTACGTCTGAGTGGGATCACGGCTGATCCTGCGAATTCAAAGCCTTGTCTTCCTTCACCCCTGGAAGGGCGTGGGATAGGCAGAGAAGCAGTGCTGCGCCGCCAGGAGGTGGCCTGGCTTCCCCCGGCCGCAGAGGTGGTGCAGAGGGGCCCTCGGCTGCCACGAGCCAGGGGCCTGGGCCCGAGACCTGCCCTAGGCCTGGGTGCCCCCACCTGTCTCCCCACCCAAGACGGGGCTGCCCTGCAGGGTCAGTCAGGCACCTCATCTCTGGGCCATGCTCTGGTCTCTCACTGTCTAGGGAAGCCCCATGTAGGAACAGTGGAGGCCCGCTGACTGTGGAGCCCCTGGATGCCGGTGAGGACCATACAGGGGATGAGGACCCCTGAAAACCTCTGGAAAGAGAGCTGGGAATCACTGTCGAGTCTGGGCGTGGCTCACTGCCGTGGTCCGTGAATGCTCCGGCATCTGCCTGCCCTGCCCAGGTGCTGCCCTGCAGTCGCTGCAGCCCTCCATGCCCAGGAGCCCAGAGAGCCTGACGTTACCCTTGGCAACATGCTGACGCAAATGCCAGCGGGCGGGTTGGGGGCTGTGGCTCCTCTGCCAGGCGTGGGGGAGGGGGCTCCGCCAGCCCTCTGTCAGGGGAAGACAAGGCCTTAGAGCCGAGTCAGGGTTGAAGAGCTTTGAGCTCCATGTCCAGAGCCTGGCACTGGGCCCCCAGCCTCCTTTGGTTTCTGCAAAGGTCAGCATGGCCTGTTCTCGGCTGCCTCGCCTTTGCTGGGGCCCAGGGCGAACAGATCGGGGCCCTCCAGGAGCAGCAGGCAGGGATGGCAGCCCTGCCCCAGGCCTGTGGCAGCAGGCAGGGGGGCAGGGGCACAGAAGAGGCGTGCCCGTGGCGGTGACAAGAGCTGCCGGAGGCACTGGGAGAAGCGGGCTCTCCTCGCGGCCGGGCCTGCTCTCCCTGGGCAGCCAGCCCACCTCCGTGGACAGCCGGCGGCGGGAGAAATCGTGGAGGGTATTGTCTTTCCTCAGCAGCCTGTTTGTTTTCCACCCTGAGATATTGCTGGTAGAGCATGAAAGGTCAGAACCATTTGGAATCCAGTGAATTTCCAGCCTCGCTTGCTTGAGTTTCTCATCAAGAATTTCCTTTTCTGGTGAACAACCACCTCCCCAGGCCTGCCGAGACCAGGGTGGTAGCGGGAGGCGGGGCACAGGCCTGGCTGCCAACCCCTCCCTTTAGAAAATGCCCTGAGTGGCCCCAGCGCCTGGCTGCCTCCAGGAGGCAAGCTTAGCTTCACAGAGAACCCCACAGCCAGGCCAGCAGCCACTGTCCTCACCCAGGTTTCCCACTGTGGTTTCCCACAGGGTCAGGGCTGGGACAAAGCTGGTGATACGAGGCCCCCCATGGGCTGCCTGTCCACTTGCACATGGGCTGGGCCCGACCTGTAATGAGCGGCCGCAATGGAGGGGCATGCGGGCTTCGGGCTGAGGTCAGGAAAGGCCTCTCAAGGAGGTGACACCTGAGATGATAACTGGAGGGCAGGGGCAGGTGGGCGGGGTGGTCATGTGCTTAGGCTGAGTGAGCAGAGCGCATGGGGGTGAATGAAGCCCATGCAGGCCAGGGCAGAGAGAGGGAGAGGCAGCGAGGAGGCAAGAAGGGACTAGTTGAAGTCAGCAAGGCCACAGGCAGAAGGCCTGGCCCTGGGCCTGTTTTTGAGGACACTTGGCCACCTCCTGGTTGACAGCTTCAGAGAGCAGAGATGAAAGCCGAATCCCTCCATGAAACACGGGACCAACTCAGGGCTCAGGCATCTACCTCTTGTGTTCTGTCACCCCTATGGGCACAGGCTTGGCGGGCAGAGCCTGCCAACAGACAGTCTGGGAGATAAGCCCGGTGCCCAGGGAATTCACCACACCAGCTCTGGAGATGACAGACAAGACAGCCTGAGATCCAGGTCCCCGGAAGGCCTCAGAGCACAGGCTATATCACCAGCTGCAGGACAAGCAGAAAAAGGCAAAACCCAAAGAGCCAACCCCTGGAATCTGTGGCTGGAAGACCTGCCCTGGCACCTTGCTTTGCCTCACAGCCTCACAGCCTGGTCGGCCCCGAGCCCTCTTCCTACAGCAACGCCCCACCAAGGAGCCTGACCTGCCCATCTGCTAGGACGCCGCCTCTGCCTAGAACCACACACGGCACCGAAGCAGAAGCAGGCAGAAGAGTAAGGGTGGCTGGAACCTCAAGACCACATAGTGCTGAGAGCAAGGCGGGCCTGTCCTGTGGACACAGTGTCCTCGGCTCAGGCCACTCCCACAGGGACACCATCACCACCTGGGCACAGCTTCGGGGAGAACCCCAGATGCACAGAGGGGAAGTGGGGAGAGCCCTGCCTCCTGCCTCCACGGACTGCCTGCAGCTGCTTCCCCTTCTCAAAGAGGCTGGGTCTCCTTGCGAACCCGATGCAGAGCCTCTCTCCAGAAAAACACCCAGGTGCCCAGCACAGCGGTCTCAGCTTGCAGCTGTCCACAGACCTCCTCGGGGTTACAGGCCCAATTAAGACTTCCCAGATGAACCCCACAAAGAAAGCTACCACCTGCCTTAAAAGGATCAGGTGGAGAAGCAAGCCCCTTCTTTGCCATCACCCTGGTTCCCTGGACCCTGCAGGCAAACCCCTGTGGGCCAGCATGGGGGGTTCTCCTGTGAGCATCACTCCTTCCCCTAGGTTCTGCCAGCCACAAACTCCCAAGCCCCTGGAACCCATCGCCCCGCACCACGTACAGCTCCTCATGGACTGTTTGCTCCATGCCCACCCACGATCAAAGGGCTCACGAGGGCAGATTCCGAGTCTTTGCTCAGTGCTCCCGCCCGGCACAGCAGCTCTGTGGCAGGGAGGATCGGGGAGATCGTGGCCACACCTATCCCTCGTCTGGCTGTGTGGCCTCTACCACCACCATTCCTGGGAGCCAGGGAGCTGTGGCACCTCCTGCTCTGGGCCTCCTGCCTCGGTTGGGCTGTGGCATGCTGCCCACTTGTCCTTACCAGCAACCTGGCTGTTCCCATGCCCAGCAGCTCCCCTCAAACCCCCACTGGCTCAGCAATGGGCCTGGGTGGACCCTGGCACCTCTGTGCACCTCTGTGCCCTCCCGCTAGTGACACTCCCCCTCCCTGGGCTGCCACCTGGCCTGATGCACAGCAGTCATTTCCTGTCCTTCTGATGGTGGGACGCCGTCCACTCTGGGGCCCTCCACACACAGTGGTTCTCAGCTTGGGCTGGGGCTTGAAAACCCCCACACCTCCTAACCCCTGAAAATGAAATCTCAGAAAGTTCTTAACCCTACTGATACCAGACTCTCAGGATATGCATGGGGTTGTGGGACCATAGCTGCTGTTCAGGGACCCAGACAGTCAGCAGAGGGCGGGCCCTTCGCACCCTGAGTATTCGTTAGTGTCACCGGGGCACCTGGGGCTGTCTGAAGCTGGGTGAGACAGCCATACCCAGGGGGCGACCTTGCACAGTGGAGTCCTGGGTTGTGGTGGTCACTTGAAGGGTGTTGGAGACCTGGGATCTGTCAGGGCACTGAGGTCAGAGTGGGGCCCCTCCAAAAGCTGCCCTCTGTGGCAGGCGTCCTGACAACAGGGGTGACCCCGAGGTCCTGTGGTGCTCATGGAACCCGCTGTGCTCCACGCTCTACTCCCAGATATATACCTTGCTGGGGCCGCCCTGCCCCTTCTGACGCAGCCTCTGCCCCGCCCACCAGTCCCCAGGAGCCAGGGCGGCAGGAACAAGCAGAGGAAAAGCCTGGCCACTCACCGTCTGGTTGTCCTCATAGAGCTTCAGGTCGTAGCCACTAAGCTCCACGCAGAAGATGATGGCTGTGACACCCTCGAAGCAGTGGATCCACTTTTTGCGCTCCGATCTCTGCCCACCTACATCCACCATCTTGAAGGTGAGCTCCTTGAAGGTGAACTTGTTCTCCACGATGCCCGTGGTCATGTCCCGGGAGCGCAGGATGTCCTCGACGGTGGGGATGTAGTCGGGGGCGGCAATGCGCTCCAGGTCATTCAGGTAGTAGGCCGCGTTGTCCTCCAGGTGGTACTCGCTAGAGCGCCCGAAGCAGGCCTGCGCCCCGGGGTCGGCCCACAGCCGCCGCATGACGCCCAGCAGCTCCGGAGTGATCTCTCCCTTGCTCTCGGCGGGGCCTGTCAATGCGAAGAGCTGCACAGCGTCGTAGGCGCGGTCGGGGTTGTGGAAGTCGATCTTGAGGGCAGCCAGGGCACGGATGATGCGGGTCAGCGAGTCGATGGCGTTGTAGATGATGAGCGGCTTGTACTCCTTGCAGGCCTCCAGGTTGAAGCCGCCGCTGTGGATGATCTTCATCTGCTTCACGATGGTGCTCTTGCCCGAGTTGCTGGTGCCCAGCAGGAGCAGCTTGATCTCACGGCGCTGCCGCTGGCTCTCGGAGCGCAGGTGGCGGTCGATTCGCCGGGACCGACGCGCCGCCTCTTTCTCCTCTGAGCTTTGCCGACATCCCATGGTCTGGCAGCAGCGGGCAGACAGGAGCACGGGACTGGGGCCTCTCCCTCTGCCCCGAGGGAAGGGGATGCTCAGACTCAGGTGGTGTGCCCAGGAGACGCGGCCCAGCTGCCCTTGAGCGCTCAGTGTGGGTGGCGGGGCAAGGCCAAGCCCCGCTGCAGCCCCTGCCCCAGCACCTCTTCTGCAGCCGGCATGGCGCTCCTGCTGCGGGAGGTGGCCGAGCCCTCCCTCTAGTGACACTCCCCCTCCCCGGGCTGCCACCTGGCCTGATGCACAGCAGTCATTTCCTGTCCTCCTGATGGTGGGACGCCGTCCACTCGCCTCTGCCTAGGCTGCGGCCGTCTGGTCCCTGGTTGCTGTGGCGATGCTGCTAAGTGCAGCTGGACGACCTGCCGCCAGTGCTGCTGCCACGGGTGTTCCCTGCGGCCCCCCTGCCTCGGGCATCTGCCCTTCACCTGCCAATACAGAGAAGAGCATGAGCCTCCTTTCACCGTGGGAAAGGGAGCCTTCTGGAAAGCAGGAAGCTGCCTGGGAACAATGACTAAGCCCCCTCCCTCCGTGGAGCTCCAGAGAGTTGATGCCCAAACCACAGCAAACAAACACATTGACCACTGCACTCGGCAGCCAGTGTGCTGAAGCCGGGTGCTCAAGGAAAGTGTGCCCAGCCACATACCATGAGAGGGTCTTCAAATTAGGGGGAGTGAGTCCACACCTGGCCACCCCTCCCTGCCTGCTGGATCTGGCAACCTCACCCTCCCTGAGCCTCGGCCTCCGTCTGGTGGTGGTTAAGATTCAACATGGTGGCCCCGCTCTGATGCCACCCTGTGCCCTCTCCTGCAGCTGCACCCACATGTGCTGTGGCATCGATAGGACTCAGCACCTCCCTAGTTTATGGTGGGGATCCAGGCCAAGATAAATGGGTTCCCCCCACTCTTACTACCTCCCCCTGGGTCCCCCCTGCTCTCTCCCAGGGCAAGACACTCATCAGGAGGAGACCACTAGCCCTGCAAGTGAGCAGACAGGCAGGAAGCAGAGGAGCTGGGAGCACTAAGGGTGGACAACAGCCTGGGGCTGGGGCTCTCTGGCGGGCGGGGTGGCTTCCCTTCTGGTGGGTGAGGTGGAGGGAGGCTCAGGCTGGGAGGGGCAGGGTGGTAGCTAGGTGTGGAAGGTGGGACAGGCCAAGCAGTCCAAAGCATGGGGAATCACGGAGTCCAGGGCAAGGCGGGGGCCCAGAGGCTCGCTGTCCCAGGCCAAGTCTTTCAGGTCCCCACCCCTGCCTTGGTCAATAAGGAACAGCTGTGCTCACACCTGGGGCAGGGCCTCAGCACCCACCTGCTCTCTGATGGTCACTCAGGATGCCTGTAAACTCTTCCTGGGGTTTCCCCAACAAGCTGTGGGCAGTGAGGCCAGGGCCCTCCCATCAGAGCAGCCCCAAAGCTCAGGTTCTGCCCCAACTGGGAGCCCAGGGTGGCATCCGACCCCAATCCACCCACCCACACACACCTCTTTCCCCCAATCTCTTCCCTGCCGGGCCACCTACCACAGCCTCCCCATTCTGCCACGGCCAGCGCTCACCTCTAACCCCTACTCCCCCGACAGCAGGGAGGACTTGAGGCCACCAGACCCTGAGAGCTAGGTCTCCCCACCCAGCCATACTCCCGCTGCCTCCTCGCTTGCTAGTCCCAGTGAAGCTGCTCTGAAGCAGGCCCGAGCGCCGTTTCCCACCTCTCCCTGCTCTCTGGGCACACCTGTCTCCGCAGCCAGGGTGCTTTAAACACCTCTCCTACCTCCTCTCCCTGGATTGAAGCTCCATGTACCCCCACTGCTCATAGGAGGATGAGTCTCATCCCAGCTGGCGAACTGGGCACACAACTCCACTCAGAGCTTGGCCCTCACCAGTCACAGGTGTCCGTGAGAAGTAAAGCATCCAGCACAGAGCCTGGTTCCCAGCAAGTGCCAGCCAGCACCCCACTGTCCCCGTCACCTGTGAGCCCCCCTTCCCCCTTGTTCTACCTCCTCCAGTGCTTCCATCCCATCCATCCTGCTTTCTGTGGCGAGCTCGGTAACCTGGGACCAAGCAGGGCTGTGTGCCGAAGCCGCCTGTCCTGGGGCAGGGACTGGGAGGCAGGGACTGGGAGGCAGGGCCTGGAGCATCGCGGTGCAGGGCACATAGGAGGTGCGCATTCAGTGTTGGTGGGAGGGAGGAAGGAGGGAAGGACTCAGACTGAGGGAGGTGGAGGAACTTGACCACTTCATGGCAGTCCCACCTGCCAGGCAGCCCTGGATGAGGGACACACCAGGAAGTGCCCTGGACAGAGCTCTGCTGAGGGAGTGGTGATTAGACAGACTGTTGGTCAGCAGTCTCAGGACTGCTTAGGATCAAAGTTCCGCGATGGCCCCCAGCCTGGGGCGCAAGGGGTGCTTGTGGAGTATGTGCTGCAGGGTGCCATGTACATGATACATGCAGTGCACACGCTCACACACATGTGCACATGTGCTGTGCAAACAGAGGTCTGGGATGCTGTTCCCCAAGCAGCACTGAACTACAAGACGTTTGCTGCTTCTTTGCATTTTCCCATATTGCCTATGTTTTCTTCAATGATGTTCGTCATGAGAAAAGTTTATAAATGAGTATCTCAGCATTGTCAAGGCCTTGTGGCTCCTGGGATCGTCCCCCCCACCCCCTGCACTGTGAGTGGGTCAGGCAAGGCCCCAGGGCTGCTCCCTGGTCCCTGCTGAGAGCGCCTTGGGTGTGGACAGGAGTCCAAGGCCCCCAACCAGCTCTTTGGACGTCCTGCTCCATGCCAGAACTGCCAGGGCCCTGGGCCCTCCCTGCCGGCGCTGCCACCCCCAAGGAAAGTCCAGTGTCCTCCCTCTCAATGACAGTGCTGGCCCCATGTTGTCATAATGTTTTTCTCAATTTTGTGTTTTAAAATGTGAAGTGCACACAGGCCTCAGTGATCAATTCTCCCTCAGCTGGTCAGTAACAGGGACAAAGAACATCCAAAAGAGCAGGTTCCTCCCACTGTCTGTTGTCACCTGGACAAGCAGGCTCCCGGGTGCTAGGTCTGCATGCCTCGGGGCACGCTGCAGTGACCTCACTCTTGGCACATGGTGGAGCCCGAGCAAGTTACATGGCCGGGATCATGTGGGACAGTCTCTTGCCTCCATGTCTTGTCCACCGGAATGGACAGAGAGGTTGGTGCTTCCTCAGTGGGGATCCTGCTTCAGGTCCTTCTCAAACTCAAATCCTTCCCCTGCAGCTGAGGCCTCAAGGAGCCTGCCAGGGCAGCCTGGCACCGGCTGTTCTCTGGAGGGCCCACCTGCCACCTGGCTGCTCCCACCAGCAGTGCCTCTGGTCCTGCGCCTGTACCGGGACCTGCTGTTCTTCAGAGATCAGCTCACACACGCTGCCAGGTCCGACAGTGGGCCCCTGGCCCCTGCTGCCTGCGCCTCTCCACCACGTTCTCCCTTTCTCCGGTCTCTCCCGCCGCACTGGGCTTTCCTTAGTAGTGGTGAGGCCTTTACCTAACACCACATACAAAAACTAACTGAAAGTGGATCAAAGACTTAACGGTAAGACCTAAAACTATAAAACTTAAAAGAAAGCATAAGGCAAAAGTGCATGACACTGGATCCAGCAATGACTTCTTAGATGTGACACCAAAGACACAGGCAACTGAAGAAAAATATCAACAAACTGGACTTCATGAAAATTAAAGAATTGTGTGCATCAAAAGATAGTATCAACAGGGTAAAAAGGCAACCCACAGATTGGGACAACATATTTGCAAATCATATATTTAATAAAGGATGAATATCTAGAATATATAGCAAACTAAAACTCAACAACAACAAAAAACCTAATTCAAAACTGGGCAAATAACTTAGACATTTCTCCAAAGAAGATATAGAAATGGGGCATGAAACGATGCTCATCAGTAATCTTTAGGGCAGTGCAAATCAAAACCACAACGGGATACCTCACACGAACAATACCATGGCCACTATGAAACACACACACACACACACCAGAGAATACCATGCGTTGGCAGGATGTGGAGAAATCTTGTGCACTGTCGGTGGGAATATAAGATGGTACTGCTGCTATGGAAAACTGTGGTGGGTCCTCAAAAAATTAAAAATAGAACTAGCATATGATCCAGCAATTCTATGTCTGGGTAGCTACTCAAAGGAACTGAAATCAGAGTCTTGAAGAGATTTTATACAGCATTATTCACAGGAGCTGAGATGCAGAAGCAACCCAAGTGTTGACTGACAGACGAATGGATAAGCAAACTGTGGTCCATCCTTACAAAGAAATAATACTAGGCCTTAAAAAAGGAAGGAAATTCTGGCCCATGACCACATGGGTGGACCTTGAGGACATCATGCTAAGTGAAGTATGCCAGTCACAAAAGGACACATATGTACCATATGATTCCACATATATGCGGTCCCTAGAGTCATAAAATTCATAACGACAAAGTAGATGGTAGGTGCGAGGGGAGAGGGGATGGGGAGCTGTTGTTCAGTGGGGACAGTTTCAGTCTGGGAACATGAAAACGTTCTAAAGATGGACAGTGGTGATGGTTGCACAATATTATGAACGTATTTAATACCACAGAGCTGTACACTTAAAAACGGTTAAAATGGTAAATTTTATGCTATGTGTATTTTATCACCAAAAAAAGTTTTGTTGGAGACCTACCAAAAAAAAAAAAAATTGCAGAAGGCCATGTGGTGTGACAAAAAGAGAGGCAGGCCAGTGACCAATCCTGGCTTCAACCACCAGTGCAGGGCTGTTCTGAGCCCACACTGTCCATACGGCAGAGAGCCCAGTGCCAAATCTCATGGGGGTGAGCCGTGCCCACCCAGCCTAGGGTCCAAAGCCGCCCTGTCCGAGGAGGTGTGACTTGTGCTTTGGGAAGTATGTGCGTCACGATATCATGGCTGAGGGCTGGGCTTCTGAGAATCAAGTCTTGACCAGTGCACACCAGTAGCCACAGGGCAATGCAGGAGTAAAGGGGAGGCTGTGGCCAGGTGGCGGCTGTATGCATCCAGCCAAGTTGTCTGCCATCTACACGGGGCAGCCACCACTAGTCACATCTGAGGCGGCTTCCTCTGCTGGGGCACCCTCTTCCTTCAGACCACCAGAACCAACATGAGAAGGCCCCACACAGGCTCTCCTTGCAGCTCTCCGGGGCTCAGCTGCATTCGGGCGGAATGAGAGCAGGTGCCCGGGAACGGGCAGTGGGGGGACGGGGCGGCACTCGGGCTTGGGGAAGGAGGTCTGTGTGTGGGAGTCTGGGTGGACCGAGTTCCAAAAAGGACCTCTGAACAGTCCCACCTGCTCTGAGGCTCAGCTTCTTAGCTTTTACACAAGGCTGCCAATCTTACCTCTCTGAGTTTAGCTGGACCTCCAAGAGCTCCCCGAGTTAGCCCGGAGGCAAAG